AAAAAAAAAAAAAAAAAAAAAAAAAAAAAAATTTACATTTAGATAAGACTCACCGGTTTAAAGATAGAAACTTATGGATTGGATAAAAGAAAATTCAGTTCTGTGTTGTTCACAAGCAATGCTCCTAAAATATATGGCACAGAAGTAAAACAAAGAAGTTGTCTGAAACAGTGGCTCGCGCCTGTAATCCCAGAGATGGGAGGATCACTTGAGGTCAGGAGTTCGAGGTTGCAGCGGGCTATGATCATGCCATTGCACTCCAGACTGGGCAATAGAGACCCTGTCTCAAAAAAGGAAGAGAGAGAGGGAGGGAGGGAGGGAGGAAGCGAGGGAGTGGGAGAGAGAGAAATGCTATCCAAAGGAAATGTGTTTTAACCACATTCACATCAGACAAAGTAGACTTTATGGCAAAAAGCATTATTGTGATAAAGCAGTCCTTCATGTGAGAATGAATCCATAGTCGCAGTGGAAGATTTAACACATTTCTTTCCATTATTGATGGGTTATCAGACAAATAATTAGTAAGGATATAAAAGATATAAACAATAAAATGAAAAAGTAGCATCCTATACCACCAAATGAGAGAATACTCATTCCAACCACATACAAACACTTTAAAAACCCGAATACACAAAACTAAAACCTTTTGTGCATCAAAGAACATTCTCAAGAGAGGGAAAAGAGAAACCATCAAATAGGAGATTATAACTCAATGAATAAATATCAATAAAACTGTGGGAATATACATTAATAATTTAATAAATAAAAAACAAATGACTGAAGATGAAGGAGCAAAACTTCCCTTTTCCTTGGAGAAAACTTCCAAATAATGTATGGAGATACTTGCCCCTATAAGAGGTGGAGCTTAATTCCCATTGTATTGATTACAGACTGAACTTACCAACTTGCTTCCAAAGAATAGAGCATAGGAAGGGCGAAATTGTAACTTTACAAAGGAGACACCTGGAGAACACCCCCTTAAACAAAGTAATCAAGGTTAACATCATCAGTGATATCTAGATTTCTGATATGAAGTGATGAGAAGGGCACTTCCTCTTGTGATAGTTTTCCTCAAATCCTTAACCCCAGTCTAATCATGTGATAACATCAGAAAAACCCAGTTGAGCAACATTCTGTGAAAACACCTGATGGATACTTTTAAAACCTACCACAGCATGAAAAACAAGAAAAGACCAAGAAATTCACAGATTGGAGGAGACTGGGAGACATTAGAACTAAGTGTCATGTGGAAACCTAGATTGAATTCTGGAACAGAAAAAAGGACATTAGTGGAAAAAATAAATGGTTAAATCCAGATAAAGACTTAGTTAATAGTATGGTACCTATGTTAATTTCTTAGTTTTTGTTTTGTTTTGTTTTATTTTTTTGTTTTGAGACAGGGTCTCACTCTGTCACTCAGGCTAGAGTGAATGGCTCAATCTTGGTTCGCTGCAACCTCCAACTCCCAGGCTCAAGTGATTCTCCCACCTCAGCCTCCCGAGTTGCTGGAACTACAGGCATATGGCACCACACCTGGCTAATTTTTGTATTTTTTGTAGAGCTGGGGTTTCACCATTTTGCCCAGGCTGGTCTCGAACTCCTGAGCTCAAGCAATCCGTCTGCCTCAGCTTCCCCAAGTGCTGGGATTACAGGTGTGAGCCACCACACCTGGGCAATTTCTTAGTTTTGAAAAACATACTAGGCCAGTGGCTCACACCTGTAATCCCAGCACTTTGGGAGGCAGAGGCGGGCAGATCACCTGAGGTCAGGAGTTTCCTGGCCAACATAGTGAAACCCCGTCTCTACTAAAACAATACAAAAAGTCGCCAGGCATGGTGGCATGCACCTATAATCCCAGCTACTTGGGAGGCTGAGGCAGGAGAATTGCTTGAACCTGGGAGGTAGAGTTTGCAGTGAGCCAAGATCGTGCCACTGCACTCCAGCCTGGGTGACACAGCAAGACTCTGTCTCAAAAAAAAAAAAAAAAAATAGAAAAGTAAACCATACTGTGGCTATGTAAGGTGTTAACATGAGGGGAAACTGGGTGAAAAGTATAAAAGAGCCATCTTTGGAACTTTTCTGTCAATCTAAGTTTATTTCAAAATAACAAGCTTTGAAACTAAAGACAAATCCCACAGAGAAAACAGCAGGCCCTGATGGCTTCACCAGAGATTTGTATCAAACATTTAAGAAAAAGAAAAGAAAAGAAAGCATTGTTACACAAATTCTTTGAAAGTATAAAGGAACAGATAACATTTCCAAACAAATTTTATAATGCCAGAAGAAACCTGACAAAAACGTTACAGAAAAGAAAATTAAAGGCTGGTATTCCTCATGAATGTAGACACAAAACCCAACATATGTATATGTGTTCGTATACGTACATACTAACACACATATTTATAAATATATCTGTATATATAATTTATAAATAAATATATGTGATACGTCATTACTAAGTTAGGTTTACCCCAGGAATGCAATCTGGGGTTAACATTTGAAAATCAATCAATGTAATTCAGCTTAACATAGTAAATAAGAAAACTGTATGGTGGAGGAAAAGCATGATGAAATTCAACACCAATTTATGGTGAAAATTATTTAAATATTTAGAAGGCAACTCCCTCAGTCTGATAAAAGTTAGCTCCAAAAAATCTCCAGCTAATAGCATACCTAATGGAGAAAGACCGCATGCATTTCCCACAAGTCTGGGAATAAGACAAAGATGTCTTCTCTCACCACTTCTATTTAATGTAGTATTCATAGTCCTAGCCAGTTCAGTTAGGCAAGAAAAAGAAACAGTCATAAAGATGGGAAATAAATAAATGAAATGGTCTCTCTTCCCAGGTGAAATTATCGTTTACATAGATCATCACAGAAATCTACAAAATAATTACCAGAAATACTGAGTGAATTTAGCAAGGTCGCAGGATACAGGGTTGAAACACAAAACCCAACTGTATTTCTATATAAACTGCAACAATTAGAAAATTAGTTGTTTAAAAATAGCAACAAATTACACAATTCTTAGTAATAAATGTAACAAAGGTTGTGTAAGACTTGTACGTCAAAACCTTAAAACTTTGCTGAAATTAAAGAAGATAGTTAATTGGATACATACATTGTGCT